AGGTGTGGGTGTGGGTGTCTTGAATTCGTGAGTCACACCCACACTTAATAACTCTTTTACTTTTGATGAGAAGTAGCTCAGCTAAGTGTCAGTGTAATCAAATCGATAGAAGAATGCATCATCATCGCATACTGTTCATATCTAATTGCAAGACATAGATTGCCCTCATAACTATAGTTAGAATGGCATATTTAATGTTTTTTCTATCTATCCCTCGTCGTCAGCACCTTTACAATATTTGATAAACACCTATTGCAATACTGATATTTTAAACTTAGTAAATCAATAGCTTAATTATGAAACTTTTATTTGTATATAAATATTTCATCAACTTGATCGTAAATTTATTATTTAGATGAAAAAAAAATGAATCACAATCGAGAGTAATTTTGTTGTTTAGAGAGTATAAGAAAGAAGGTGTAAATAAATGCATCAATGATTAGATAGAGTAATAGATTTTTTGTGCAATCACGACTGTTAAAAGTATTTTTCATTTGCCTCACGTATTATTTTAGAAACTAATACGAAGAAAGAACGAAAAATGTGCTTTCGAAATTCGTGTGTGCATAATATATTTTCATTTTCAATTTATTTGTGTAACAGTCTGAATTACTTGAAGAAAAAGTTTTAGAAATAGAATATGATTATTTCAAATAAAACTGTAATCGACCCGTATAAAAAAATTGACATCCGCAGCTTCAAGTGTATGAGTTTCAGTAATCGTATGAATAATACGTCTATTGAACATCTATTTTGAAAATAACTTTAACAAGTCACACGACTTACGATGGAGAGTTAGAAAGAAAATTGAATGACTGATCTATAACTACTTCAATATTGATCTTATTCAGTACTTAGAAGGTACGCTATGAATACATGTTTCCAAATACAGGTACAAAAAAATTTATACGACTATAGTTAACCATGATGTTTATAATGTTTAAAATTTTGAAGTTATATAAAAGCCGTATAAATTGCAATGAAAGCGCATCAAGTCATTAAAATAAAATGGTTTTTATCGATTATTCTTATTGTCTGGTTTTACTAATTCAATAAAGGACTAACATTAGTCTTTTAAAAGATATCCATAAAATAGATAAAGATGCTAAGATGTATTTCATATATTTATAGAAACAAAACACGAGTACATTCGCTCTTTCTCTTTATGTATCTTTTTTTAAATTTTAAGACAAAATTCTGCTTTACTAATAGATCTCTCTCATTATAATATATTTATCATGCAACAGATTAATCAATCATCTAAAAGAAACTGTCCAAAAAAAGAATTTTTTCTCCTGGGTTATCAGTCAATATTATTATTCCTCTTGCTGTTCAATAAACGACATTTAGAAGCAAAAAGAGGATTTTAAATTCATTTAACAATATAACTGATTAATCAATAAAATATTTCTACCGATTAACCATAAGTGTAGTATGGTCATCAATTGCTTTACAAGATCCTTCACCCATAAGTACAATATTTGTCTTTAAACGAGTAAATAATAATAAAAATGGCGAATCATTTATGTTACATCGTTGAATTTTGATATTAATTTCAAATATAGATATTGTTGAATATACATCAATACCAATGATTGTTTCTTTTCTTGGAATATCGAATTGATTTTGAACAGTTAATTCAATATATCATAATGATGCAATTTGGAGGGTGTGGGCTGTTATGCATGAGTTGCATGGATGCGAGTGAAATATGAATTAAACACCCGCATCCATCCCTCAGCAAGAATATGAAGTACCGTGCCAATACATTTAGTTTGTCTAACAAATTTAACTATATTTATATTATGAAGTTTAATATTTAATGAACTGTGGGAAAATCTATACACTATCCAAATACAATAAGCCAAATGGCCAATGCTCGAGTAAAAGAAAATAAGTATATTTGAAGTTGGATCAATATTAAAAACACCGATATGAGTACGAAATGAAACAATAACAAATACAACAAAGAAATTAGATGTAAGTAACTGTTAAAAAATAAATACGGCAAGAAATCGATTGAAATGAACAATGAGTAGAGATAGTCTGCTTTCCTTTTTTTTATTTTTATGGTTGTTAGATATAATAAACAAGAAAGAAAAAACGATGGGTAGAATGTAAAAATATTTTACATGAACTCATTTTATTGAATGTCAAAAAAGGTTTTGTATGTTAGAGGAAATATTTCTTTTAATAAAACTCAATCAACAAGAATGTACTAAACTTGTAAATTATTCGAAAAGTCTTTTTAAGCAACATTCAGTTATATTCCTTGATTTTTCAATAGGTGAGCATGAATAGTGAATGAAATTGATTTCCATACCGTCATATGCATAAACATCCTTCTCTACTAGTCTGGCGTTTTTTCCTAGTGGATATTTTCTAATATACATGTATCAATTGAGCTAAAGAAATGTAAAAGGAAAAACATGTAAGTTGGCAAGTGTTGATAACAGAGAATTGGTAGTTTTTTTTGTGTGATTGCATTTTTTCTGTTTATTGAAGTTTAATGAGTTTGGCGAGAGAAAGGATGAAGGCATTGCTAAGATCCATACCTACATTCTCATACACACTCATACACCCACACATACAGAAATTCACACAGTCATGTAACGCAAAATGGTTAGCGAATATTCTAGTTTTCATGTTGTAGAAACGATCATCTAGACTATTACACTTGCACTTCTTAGCGTTTCCAGTTGAAAAGAACGGTCGATGATTTGATCATGTTCGATAGACATTTACCCAACCAGGAGTCTTTCACAAATATATTATAATACTGTGTCGAAGGTATAATATAGAGAAAGAAAATACTTGTTTGTGGAGCGAACGCGATGTAGTAGCTAAGCAAAGTAATTTTGGAGAACCATGCATTGGTATCATAATCACAAGCATTCAGAAAAAGTATCACAATCTGAGCTAATTGTGCTATAAAACAAGCAATCGGTCCCAGCAAGAGATCGATTAGTTTGCGTGTTTCATCGATCAGAGCATTGTGTGTAGTTTTTCCATGAGCATGTACCTTAGATCGAGTAATTGTCCAAATAATGATTAATGCTGCGGTAATGTTAACCAGGAAAGGCAGTGCCTGATGAGTCAAAGCCAAAACTTGTGTCAATACTTGCTCATTCGGTGGAATTTCACGAATACACCAAGGAAATGAATAATCGGGATGATTGACTAATTTGTATTGAGTGATAAATATGTAATTTGAACTTGAAACAATCAATATAATCGCCAAGATCAATGAAACTGTTTTCTTTGGCTCTTGCAACGAAGACCAGCGAGAATATTGTACTGCAGCCAGTGCTCTTTGTACTGTAACGATAGCCATTAACCACAAAGTGACATAGTAGAAAGTGTACATGAGTATGGGTAGACTCTTGCATATCACTGTATTTATTCCATCCAAGATTATGATGCGTCGTATCATATAGATATAACTGATCCGTACAAGCAATAATAACAGCACCAACGAACTAAACACTGACGTTGCCAGGAGATGAAGGGCCACTCCGTTATTACGAAGTTTTCGTTGTGCAAAAGTGATGATTGACAGACAGTTAAAGAACATTCCGATGATGAAGAGAAGTATCGGTGCGATGAAATGTCCGCGACCCCAGTCCGTTTTCTCAATGAGAAATTCTAGCGAGATTGAGAAACGACTAGGGGAAAACTGGCACAGCACACCTGTGACACACTTTGGGCATACACAAGCAAAATCAGTTCTGTTTGTTAGATCACCTTGAACACAGTGTCCTTGATTTTGACAATAGCTACATACTGTGTATCGTCGTTGATAAGAAAGACAATTACTCTGATCTTTATCCGGATAACCACAATAACAGAGATATCCATCAGATATAAAGCAAGTACCATAGATGAAACTTTGACAAAAATTACCAAACAAGGTGACAGCATGTCTTTGATTTTCGGGTAGAACATGACATTTGTTTAGTTGTTGATCAAGATCAACAGAAAAGTTTCGCATCGCATTAGAACAATTGATAAAGAGCAAATATAATGTAGTCTCGATTGAATGTGCGTTTGATTCAAAAGTGAAGAGTAATCCGATTTCAGGTTGTTCTCCAATTACATAACCCCTATTACGAGTTTTTATCATTTGAATCAGTGGAAACGAGGTCAGTGACTGAACGAGAATTTGTTGACGAATCGTCGGATAGTCTCCTGTAAGTTGGAGTAATTGCAAAAGAAATGGTGATTGATTCGGCTCTTGTCGCTGAACACTAATCACTGGTCGGTTGATATTACAATTGGATGTGTTACAGATACAAATATGTCCATAGATAGGAGGATGTGATCGTGGAATGCAAGTTTCATTCAGTTCACAGTTGTTTTGTTGGCATTTTAGATTCTGAACGTAACAGTAAGGTTCGAGGTAGCCTTGTGGACAAATACAGATGGTTTCTGTTCGTGCCAGTGAATGTGATGCACAATGAATGTGCTCAGTTTTCATCTCGCACAGTTTACCTTTCCAACCGTATGCACAAATGCAGAGAAATCGGTTGTCCTCTCGTTGATGACAGGTTCCATTATTTTCACAGTAGTTGTGTGAACAAAGCCAGGGAAATGATCGAGCAGGAAATCGAAGCACTTTGGTAATACGTAATACAGGCAAAAAGTCCAGTGGACTGATAGGATATTCCCAGAAATGGATTAATTCTGTAGAATGATAGGTCTCAATTCGAACAGAAAAGGTACCCGGAGGTTTCGGACGAGGATAGATCAAGTGGGTCGTAGACTTCGATGAGTATTCTTTGGCTTCATCAAACAAAAATCGATGATCAACTACTATGCTTTCGTTTAAAAAAAGCATGACGAGGACGTTCAGAACAAGCGGAAGATCAGGGCGTTGCCTTCGATCGAAACGAAGCCGAATGGCTACTCGTCGACTGTTGAATTGGCAACGATCTCCGTAAAAAGTCGGCGGACAAAAGCAGAAGAATTCTGAGCTGTCGACTGCTTGTAGATAAAAACCTCGATTACAGTAATAGTATCGGTGATCCAATGCTTTCACTTGTTGATTTTCGGCTGAAGATGGAATTGCAAGTTTAGTGTGGGGTTGCAATTGATTGTAACATCCTTTTTTAATATCAAATGCTGATCTATCCTTACTCGAGCGATAGATATAATTTTCATTGATTGAATTCGGACACCAGAAATACTGGGACTTATCAGTGCATGCTATCTCTCTTGTACACCTTGTGCTCTTGCAACCTTTTAGGTCTGCACAAGAAAACTCTCCGACAGGACAATAGCCAGTATTCCAATAGCAAATTGACTCATCAGTTTTGTCCACACAGTCCTTGATTCCGTTGCATACTGCCATGTAATCAATGCATTTCCTTCCATTATCGCATAAGAAACGATCACCAACCATTCGATGATCAGGACACGATGCAACATTACGTTCATCGCGAGCTCCAATACAATCAATATGCCCGTCACCCACTTGTTTCCGAGAAATACAAAAACGATTAAAACTTTGATTCTTGATATATTCATCAGTTATACAAAAATATTCGGTGCTATAATTACAGTTCAGTTCAAATTTCCATTTTTGTAATATCAGAGGACAATTGACTTCATCTTCGCCATCGTCACAATCGAATTCTCCATCACAAAAGGATTTTCGCTCGATGCACTGTCCTGATCGATTGCACTTGTACAAACCGGGATCGCACATCCAATATGAGCAGTTCTTTTCGTCTCGACCATCCATTATATCCCAGATCGAATCACAGTGACGATGAAAATGAAGTCGAACGTCTTTTAGACGATTCTCTCCGAACTGATCGCCTTGAAAAACCCAACACGCGTAATTATCATTCACATCACATTTGAAGGTTGACCAGCGTATCTCATTGGATACTTCATCACTTCCATCGGCACAATCATCGACGCCATCACCTAATTTAGCATAGCTGACATATTGAGACGGGGATATGACAGTTTGACATTGATAACGAAACAGTTGAGTCATTGGATAATCGGAATTTCTCTCATCATCACCATACAGACAATCGATATAACCATCATTAATTCGACGTAATGACAAGCGATCTGATGTATTTTTGCATCGATAGAACGATGGTGAGATTGATGAATCCAAATTATTTTCAGTTTTTATAATACTCGACGATTCATTCATTATTTTTTGACAAATTAAGTGAAATAGTGGAAAAAAAGGGTAAGAGGTGAGTTCTTGCAATTCTTGATGACTGAACCAGATCTTTTCCGATATATTAAACGATATTCCGTCGCAGATGATGGCACCACTGAAATAGTATAGATCAGGTGTCTTTGATATTGGTTTGCGTGAGTTACTTGGATTGCTGAAGAATCGCTCGATAATAGAGCGATTGTAGATCATTTTCAAACCTGGGAAGAAAGCATTTTGTTCGAAATATAGGATGGAATTTTCACAACGACTTCTGAGATTGATGACGGCAAGCTCACTCAATTGCTGCTGAGGCACAGTTTGTAATAAATGTCCAAGAGTTTGTCGACAGTCTGAACTGTTTGTCAAAGGAGGAACAAGTTCCATCGTTTGTTTACAAATACCAAGCCATTTTCCACGATTCAGTAATACCAAGTTCGATGTTTCACAAATGTAGGCGATATCACGCAAGTTGCTACAGTCTTTTTGGTCGTTCAGAATTGCTGACCATGGAATACATTCACCATTTCCACATGAAAATTGGTCTTTACGACACAGTCGATCATCGCATTCGGCTATCGATTGTCTTGCGCAGGGATCGTAATCTTTGTAGCGTTCATCAAGCGCTTGCTCATCACTCAAGTCCATACAATCAGGCGTTGCATCGAAGGCGAACTCAGCTGGAATACACATTCCATTGCGACATTGAAATTCATCTGTTTCACATTTGAAAAATTCCAAAAGATGACAATCAAGCTCATCAGTCCCATTTGTACACTGAGCGAACCCATCACAAATATGTCGCCACTCGAGAAACATATCTGCTCCTGGACATATGATTCCATCCACAAGTCTTGTAAGTGTTTCGTAACTATTTGAATACGAGTTGAACATCTGTTGATGTAACAAATTACCTGGCGTACTCATCCTCGAATTAAGATTGTATTCGCAATATCTGCCAATCGAATTTTGACTACAGTTACAGATCGTTGCTTCAGTTGCGCGATTATTTTCATTATCATCTAAATGAACAGCGTATTGTTCAATTAAATGAAAAGGTATTAACCAATCCATCAAATGTTCAGTTGTCACGTTGAGCTTCTCCAACTTGTCGAAAGTCCATGAGTTCCCATCCTGGCATGATTCAATAATAGTATCAACTGTGACTGAGCGACAATAATAACGGAAGTTAATAACGAAACATTCTGTGCGAGTTTTGTCTTTCCAGTAGATCATCGAATGATGACTATTATCTTCCATGGAGAATTTCAGTAAGCTGCAAATCAGTGTGATCCAAACTTGTGAATTATACATGCCTTTATTTTACTTTATCTGAAAATAAACAGACAGCTAAGATCACAAAAAGATACTGGGCGATTTAACCAACAAACTATCTTTCTGAAACAATTAAAACTTCAATGTGTCAGTTACATTGCTTAGTTCAGATTTGATTTATATTGATTCAGTCTGGTGTGTTTTGTCTCAAATAACTTTCTCGAGCTATTTAATCTCATTCAACATTTATCACGTCTTTTATTCTAATAAACGATTTCCTGCAAGAAAAAAACATTTTCTCTTTAACAGAACACTCTGTTGATGTGTTGTGATAATCATTGATTACTCGCGACTTTATTCCTATTCCATTGCTGAGATTATGAATGTAGATTTAGGTATGGGTGAGGGTATAACTGCGGATTTGGGTGTAGATGAGGGTATAGTTGTGGGTTTGGATGAGGGTGAGGATTTGACTGTGGATTTGGGTGCTGGTGAGCGGTACGACTGTGGATTTGGGTGTGGGTATGGGTGAGGTTGTAGCTGTGGATTGGGGTGAGTGTGGGTGTGGATGTTGTTGCAATTGTCAGTATCTCTTCTCTTAACCTCAATCACACTCACTCTTTACTAGAAAATAAACAGACAGCTAAGATCACAAACACACTAGGCGATTTAAAACAATGTTAAATCAGATTTAACAAACAAACCATCTTTCTGAAACAATTAAAATTTCAATGTCTCAGTTACATTGCTTAACTCAAATTTGATTCATATTGATTCAGTCTACTGTATGTTGGCTCAATTAACTTTCTCGAACTATTTAATTTCATTTAATATTTGTCACGTCTTTTATTCCAACAACCGATTTCCTGCGAGAAAAAAACTTTTTGTCTTTAGCAGCACACTCTGTTGATGTGTTGTGATAATCATTGATTACACACG